CTGAGTAAGGAACAAGTTTATTTTATTTTATTTCAAAATTTATATCATGCCTTTCTCCCACAATGGGATTCACAAAAGGTTACAATAATTTAAAAATAATTTAAAAAGACAGAAGTAAAAAATGTAGAAAAATGATTAAACATTATTAATATTAAAACAAGTTGTTTGCTACAAACATTTTTCCCCCATAATAAATAAATAAATCCTGAAATGAGAAAAATCATTGGAATACTATGCAAAAGCTCTCATAATTTCTACCATCGGGGGACAAAAAACACTTTTGAAATTATCTGTTCTTACATGTGAGAATAAATAAGTGAAGATTTACATCCCTAGTTAACAACATGACTATACTGGTGTTCATGTAGGGAGGTATCCAAGATCAAGCAAAACTATAGTAGCAATGCATCTGAGGAAGTAGATTGAAGTCTACCAAAGGTCATGCTGCCAACTTCTTTATTTCAGTACTAACTTTGAGACTAATCAAAGGTGCTACAAGATCTCTCTACCTACTGATTCTACAGACTAACATGGCTATATCTTTGAATGGTGATAAATTCCAGTATTTCCTCTAAACTCTTACTACACTTACATGTCACTGCCACTCAGCATGTATCACAATCATAGCTGGGTCTCTCTAGAGCCATCAATCTCTTCAATGGTAATGCACTACAGAAAGAGTGGCTAGGAAAAAAAACCAGTTCAAAAGGCACATGTAATTTCCCAAACCATCCCTTCCACAGTATATTAGCTCTGAGGACTGCTCAGAAGTACTAATAGAGTCAGCCACTTTCAGGCTATGAAAGTTATGCAATCCTGCATAACAATGCCTGCAGGATGTTCCATTCTGCTGAAAGTGAATAAGATCTCAGTCAAAGTGTTTAGATTAAACAAATCCCATAAACCTATTCATGGGGGTTTTAAATGCCAAATGTAACCAAGTTTTCAATCTGGATTCAGACCAATCACTCAGAAAGGAAAAGCAAGTTGTTATGCAGTGTTTGCTTATGTGATCACAGAATATTATTCTGTTGCCAAGAAACCCCAAGGATGCCTTAAGATGCCTTAGAATCACTGTAAGTCAAAAATGTCTTGAAGACACACAATAACAAACTCAATCTCATACCATCACCCAACTTCTAGTGTCATGATTGTGTATACGTTTCAAGAAACAAGATGTTACCAGATGTCCCTGCGGCTGGGAGACAACAATCATGTTTCTGGATTGACTAGGCCTTATAGAAGTATGAGAAACATATTTTTTTCTGCTCTTGTTGGTTAACAGAGCTATAACCTGTGCTCGGCACTTGAAGGTTAGACTTCTCACACTGCTCCAGAAATTAATCTGTGATGTGATAAGCTAGAAACATAGATTCCTCAACTAGATTTAGGCATATGTACCCATAGGTATGAGCTGACCCTAAAAATTTATCACATTTAAATGCAGTTCAGTATTTTAGAACCATAACTCTCCTTGTTTTCCTGGGTGGACATAAATCACTGTTCTTGAGATATGTAACCTGATAAGAACAACTTTCTTCATTTGAGATTCCACCCTTGCAGTTCCTTCTTCCACCCAAAGAACTCCTTTCATTGAAAATATTCCAAGCAAAATTACACAGATATGAAGAAAGTTCTGTCCCCACATATAGAGTATTAGGAAAGTGTATGTGAAAAACAAAATTGAATTACTAGGATTTGTTTAAATTTCTGTTAACTTGGCTCTTTCTCAGAATGCCTTAATTGAATCCAAGAGAATATAGTAGAGGATTGTATGAGCATCTAATGTCTGCACAGGAACATTTTGAAAAGAATTCTGCATACTTTAGTCTTGGCTTTTGTGATAGCTTGGGCATACTTTGCTGAACTAGACTCTGGTGCATTGCTTCACTATAGAATGTAAGGAATTAAAAATTAGAATGTTAAGAACATTATTTTTAAATATGAATATTTTGAAAGTGTACATTTCACATTAACATAAATATATTCGGCATCCAGTTGATCAACTTGGTTTTTCTAAAATGGTGCATTTAATACAAGGGCAAAATTATTCTTCTAAATCTGGAGAAGATTTATAGCTGATGACAAGAAAATAATTATAGCTGTTATTACCTTCATGCATCATTATCAGCTGAGCTCCTGTTCTTTATATAAGCCTGCTGTGTGGATGTGATAAGCCCATGCTCCAATTCCACTCCTGCCAACTGTATGGTTCTGGCCTGGTTAGCCAACAGTTCATGGTCCTATGTTTTTTCTTCACCTATAACCCCTAACATGTAGTGAAATAAATCTGTGATGCTGATTGTAATGACATTCAAGCAGTCTAACTTTAACCGACACTAAGCAGAATGTTTGATAGCCTTAACTGCAACTCTCAAACGTGGCCATAGCATTTATATTGTGGTAATGATATACTGTAATATCTTAGATTTCAATACAACTTAAAAGCTTATTTAATAAGCCTTCCTGGCCTTTTATGGCTAGTGGATACTGAAAATATCCTATTTTCTTGGTGAGAGTTGAGGAAAGCAATTTGCATGCTGTGTGAATACATACAATATCATAAAAGCAAAAGTAAAATACTCTTTTACCAAA